CTGATCGAACAGTTCCCATAAGCCTGAGCAATCTCCCCTATTATCTTTGATCTGAGCCTCTACTTTAGTCAATCCTCTTTGGGCCAGACACCGAAATCGACCGGGGCGCCCTCTCTACCATGGGGTCGTACTAGCCTCACGCTGCNCCTCTCTACCATGGGGTCGTACTAGCCTCACGCTGCGGTCGGCCAAACCCCCGGATCTGAGCCTCTACTTTAGTCTATCCTCTTTGTGGGCATCTGTGGAAGAACAAACGACCCCCCCCCCGCGCCCTTTGCAAACTCTCGTAAACTCCATGTGAATGTCGTTCAAACGAACCCCAATGCATAATTTTCAATAAAATTGAGCGGTACTTCTAATAATTTTCTTCAAGATGGATAGTCGTTGGGATCTTACACGCCTTCGGGAATTGAATGACAAAACATTAGGTAAGTTTTTACACCCATTTGCTGCATTTTTGAGTGTGAAAAGTGTGGAGGAAAGCAGGCTGAGTACGTGTAAACGTAAACAAGGCATCCGAGTCCCCACCTATTTATTTACCTGCTTAGAAGTATTTGCCTTGCAATGGCTCATTATTTCTGATGTAAAAAAGCATGCAACATTGATTGTTTGAAACAAATAAATGATCCTATAATGGACCGAAAAGCAAATCAACGATGTTCGCCATCAACATCTAGATCACGCCAAGCATTCAATTTTTTATGACATTCATCCTTTCAGAGTTATTGACTGTTTTGTTTAGAATTATTGCTATTGTTGCCGGACCATAAAAAATCGACATTATCTGATTGAAGCGGAACGTAATGCGTACGTTTTAGAGTAAAGCAAAACAAAGGCAACCAACCGGGAAGTCATACCATAGAAAATTCACAGTTTTGGATGTTTTTGTGGTCCAACAAATGGGCAATTTCACTTTGAGATTAATCAAAATTTGGTAAATAATGGCACATTTGAAAATAACCGATTTAATTAATCTCAATTATTAATAGGAATCATTTCTATTTAATCCTGTCTATGAGTGTGCTTTCAAGTAAATATGTTTTCATTAAATTCATCACGTTAGACTACTACGAAAACAGTACAAAAAACAAGCAGGGGGCCGAGCCTATTCGACTGGCGAGATATGATTGTTTCTTTATGCGTTGTTAGTCTTTTTTTCTTTCATCTCTACCAATTTCATTGATATTAAGCTTCCGAATGGCTCCGTTGCAATTCTTTTTTTTTTCAATAATAAGAAGATAAAAATTCTGTTTTGTGGGGAATAAAAAATTTCAGTTTCTGTAAGACGCAAATTCTCCGATTTTCTCAATTTTCAAGTAAAATAAGAGGAAACTTCGTGCCAAACTTCAGATTACTATGTCAATTGTTTCCAAAGTTAGAGTGCAAAGACGGATTTAAGCGAAAAATCGAAAAATTTGAATTTCTCGGGAACTTTCCATGAATCACTTGCATGAATGTTGCATATTTCAATTGGTTGGAATAGGAGACATTGAGATGATTATTTTTGGTAATCGGATCTCTAACCAAATAACTGTCAAATATTATCCTGTGGAGTGAAAGAAAGTCATGAAGAAAGTCAAAATGAGTCGGTTTGAGAAGGATCCGATTACCAAAAATAACACGGTTCTACAAAATATGGGCTCATTCGTTCTCAAGGATGGAACCAACTTTATCTGATAGATTTTTTCGCGCTGATTCTAAATGCTCTTTTCAAAAATTTTCCTAGCAGGTGCAGTTTTTGAGAAAAAAATGTTAAAGTGTCTAAAAACGGCCAAAACGAACACAGAAATTAATTAAAAAATTAGTCCGGACGTAATTTAAGACAGAAAAAAATCACAATTAAACGAAAATTGGATATTTTCAATGAATGTGGCTTCGTCTTATTTGGTTGAATGAAACCCACTAAAAAAAAATCTGAAAAAGGTGAATTTTCATCATTTTTTTGGAAAATTAAACTACTGGAAGTTGGCTGTGAGTATCCTCACCCACGCCAATTTCAAATCAATCTACCCACGTGTGTTAACCTCCCCTAGATTTTAATTTTAATTTGAAAATCTCGTTTCTTGGGAAGGAATTATTAATTGCCCTGCATTTTTTAAGTAAATCCCATGGAGGTTGAAGAATCGAGACGATTCGTTGCCCTCGTGGATGCTGAGCCTGATCTATGGAGAAACGGAATCTCGAGGTACAGCAATGCTAATAAATTAATTTGGCGCAGAATTGATGAGCAGTTGAATCCTCCGAGCTCAGATATTATCATGTTGAGTGTAATATGAGGGTCAATCTTAGAAAGTCAACCAAATAAATGTTATGTCCTGCCCCGACAGGATATTTGACCTTCTGCAGGTTTCTCGAATTGCGAAATCGCCAACGTGAAGAACGACGAATGAATCCCAACGCAGGATTCGTCCTTGAGAATGAGTTGATGTTTTTCGATGAAGATGATGAAACCTGCTCATTCACATCTTCCCTAGCCCCCCCCCCCCCNCCCTACCCCCCCCCCCCCCATCAAGCCCTCCATCAAAGCCTTCACCAAGTCCCCCTCCAAGTCCTCCAAACCTTGAAGTGGTCGTGATTGAGCCAGAGCAAGATGAAAAAATTTGAGTTCTAATTGAATTCTAATTTTCCTAATTGTTCCGTTTCGATGAGAAATTATTCCATTTGGAAGTTTTTTTATTATTATTGAAATAATTTAAAGCATAAAGAAACAAATCAAGCGTTTTTCTGTACATTTCTCTAATTTCTTCAATTACTTTTAATAGAAAATGTCTTCTTACAGTTTAGAAACAAAATCATAATAAGATAAACGAAATATTCACAGATATTTACAAGATATTCATAAACATTTACAAAATTCATATTTACAAAATTTATAAATATCTACAAAATGTATATTTAAAAAATTTACAAATATTTACAAAATATTCACGCTTGAAAGTCTCACTTAAAAACTCGGATTTTTTTCGACTTTAGCAAGCGAAATTAGCAAGCATGTCTCCACGAGTTCCTTATAGTTAGGAGCACGGATACTCCCGAGGAAACCAGCGATGATCTTCAGGGAAAACCAGGTTTTTTTCTTCAACATCATTGAGTGTTTCAATGAAGTCGGTATCATGTTTAATCAGCTTCCGGATCTGGGTACCGACAAAAACGCCTGCTTTAATCTTCGCCATACTCAGCTCTGGGAAGAATTCTTTCAAATAAGCAAAAGCCTTTCCATCCTTCTGGAGTTTCTTGATAAAATTCTTCACCAGTCCCAGCTTTATATGCAGAACTGGAAAACAGATCCGTTCAGGGTGGGCTAGTGGATCAGGTAGAACATTTCTTTTCCCAGGTGTGAGGCTGTCACGAATCGGCCATTCTTTGTGGGTGTAATGAGCAGCGCGATCTCGACTATCCCATTCACACAAGAAGCAGCTGTATTTCGTGAATCCCAGCTGTAGGCCGAGAATAAGATCTATCATCTTAAGATCACCGCAAATTAGCCATTGGTAACAATCGTATCTAATTTTCTCGAGGACATCCTTAATCGTATCGTGCTTCTCCTTAAGGGTGGTAGAGTAAACGATCGGGACGGATGGATACTTGTTTCCAATGTGCAACAAGACGGCTTTCAGACTGCTAGTTGAAGCATCCATGAATAAACGCCCTTCATCTGGCTGATGCTTGATGCCCATACGCTCCATAAGCCCATCGATGTTAGAATAATACTTGCATCTTCAGTGAAAAATTGACGAAAATCGTGATCTCTAGATCGAAAACTGGAGCCATGGACTCCGGGAAGCAGGAGCTTACGCTCTTTCAATCTAGATGCTAGTAATTCTGCTCCAAATTTACTTAGATCGAGATCTCTTACCAAGTCATTAAGTGCACCTTGGGTGAACAGATTGGGATCGATGGGTTTGGGAAATTTTATATCATTTTGGTAGTCAGGGTCAAACTCTCCAAAATCTTCAGGTTCAGTGTCAGGCTCCCCAGTCATGTGTTTCGGTCTTGAATGTTCTAGCAATGCATCACGTTTTTTTATAGGTGCAAAGGATGGAAAATCCATTGAAGTCACTGTTGGATACTTCAACTTATCTTTATTTTTAGTAGAAAAACCTCTCACGTCCATCAAACAAAAAAAGCAATCATTAGAATGATTGGTAGGCTCTCCATATTGCTGGAACATTGAAGAGCATTTTGAATGTGCCTCCCTTTCCAGGTTGGAGATATCGTTGGTAGTTATTGCAAATCGTGTGAGGGACCCATGATTTTTCCAGATTCTTCATAGGTTGTTGGAAGTACTTAGAGAATTGTATTTTTATTGATGTAGTGATACTTCTCCTTTGCTTTCGAGGTATGTATTGAGCAAAAACATAGCCATAGATGTCCGGAGAATTTTTACACCCACGGGGCATGATTTTCCAACAGAAAAAGAGGATTTCCACAGAAATCTTCTAAATCCTCTTGTCAATGGCAGTTTCAGTTTACTCATTTGTTTGTCAAAAAAAAGAAAAGAACAGTCAAAGAAACCGACTTTCAAGTGAAAATATTTCGTGAATATTTGTAAATTTTGTAAATATAAATTTTGTAAATGTTCATAAATATCTTGTAAATATCTATGAATATTTCATTTATCTTATTATGAGTTTATTTCTAAACTCTAAGAATGAATTTTCTGATAAAAGTGATTGATTGAAGAAATTAGAAAAATGTACATAAAAACGCTTGATTTATTCCTTTATTGTATTTAAATGATTTCAATAATGAAAAAAAAACTTCTAAATATAATAAATTCTTTTCGAAACGAAACAATTAGGAAAATTTCAAGAACTCAAATTTTTTCGTCTTGCTCTGGCTCAACCACGACCACTTCATCAAGGTTTAAAGGAGGGGGACTCGGCTCTGGACTTGGCAGGGGACTTGGTGAAGTGTCTGATGGAGTGGCTCATGGGGGGTGGGGGGAAGCTAGGGAAGATGGGAATGAGCAGGTTTCATGATCTTCATCGAAAAACATCAACTCATTCTCAAGGATGAATCCTGCGTTGGGATTCATTCATCGTTCTTCACGTTGGCGATCTCGCAATTCGAGGAACCTGCAGAAGGTCAAATATCCTGTCGGGGCAGGACATATTAATTTGATTGACTTTCTAAGATGGACCCTCATATTACAGTCAACATGATAATACCTGAGCTCGGAGGATTCAACTGCTCACCAATTCTGCGCAAAATTAATTTATTAGCATTGCTGTATTGCACGAGGGCAACGCATCGTCTTGATTCTTCCACTTCCATGGGATTTAATTTAAAAATGCAGGGCAATTAACAATTCCTTTCCAAGAAACGAGATTTTCAAATTATAATTAAAATCTAGGGGAGATTAACACACGTGGGTAGATTGATTTGAAATTGGCGTGGGTGAGGATACAGCCAACTTCCGGTAATTTAATTTTCCAAAAAAATGATGAAAATTCACCTTTTTCAGAATTTTTTTTAGTGGGTTTCATTCAATCAAATAAGACGAAGCCACATTCATTGAAAAGATTCAATTTTCGTTTAATTGTGATTTTTTTCTGTCTTAAATTACGTCCAGACTAATTTTTTAATTAATTTCTCAGTGTTCGTTTTGGCCATTTTTAGACACTTCAACATTTTTTTTCTCAAAAACTGCACCTGCTAGGAAAATTTTTGAAAAGAGCATTTAGAATCAGCGCGAAAAAATCTATCAGATAAAGTTGGTTCCATCCTTGAGAACGAATGAGCCCATATTTTGTAGAACCGTGTAATCCGTCGAATACTATTCGACCTCCAAAATTAATCGGACATTTCCCTTGTTTTCCTGCGTATCAACGGTCGGGATAGGTTTTGCACAAAAATTTTAATCTGCAAAACTTCTCCCTCTCGTTGCTACGCAACAAAACAATCGGGAAATATCCGATAATTTTCGAGGCCTCGCGATATTAACTGAATATTTTGAAAAACAAAAATTGAAATCGGTTGAGTAGTTTTTGAGATTTTCAAGAAAACAGATTTGGATACAAAGTCGAATATCTCCTAAACTGTCCATACGATTTAGCCCATCTTCAATACCAAACATTTTAGTGCCAAGAGGAAACTTTGTACCAAATTTCAAGTTAATATGTCAATTTTTAGGAAAACTAGAGTGCTAACAAAAATTTTCAGCGAAAAATCGAAAAATAGAAATGTCTCTAAAACTTTTCAAAGGCATCAAAACGAGTATTTTGAAGAAAGCAAATTTAAATCGGTTGGATAGTTTTCGGGATATTTGCAAAAAACGATTTAAAACAAATGATGATTTCTCAAACATGGCTAGACTGATTCAGCTGATCTTTAGCACAGACTTATTCCTCATTAATACCTATAATCTCATAAAATTTCAAATTTTTTGGAATTATTTTAGCCCTTTATTCGTTCAATTTTCATAAAGTTGACCATCAAGTGGACCAAGTTGACCACGCGCACATACATGCATGGTCCTCAAACTTCGTATTTTTACGTTTCAGACCATTCTGCATCATTTCCAGGCAAAATTAGAGACTTGAAAAATCGAACGATTTCGATGCTTCCATTCGGAAGCAAAATTCTAAATTCTAGATTAACAATAGATTTTAACTTTCCTTCTTTCGGAATATAGACAATTTTTTCTAATTTCCAGAAAAATATTGTAGGAAAGTCTTCATTAAAATTTTGATAAATTCTACGTCATTTTTTAAAATAGAAGGATAAGTAAATACACGAATTCCGGCGGGATTCATTAATTACAGGGTATTATATTGTATTTCATTCTTTTTTCAAAACAACAAAAATAAATTTTCAATTACTATTGTGCAATATTACTGTTACAAGGTTGTGCCCCACAAACAGATGAATAAATCTTAAATCTTAAAATCATTGTTTTTTCAAAATTAATTTTTCCTGAAAACTAGAGGAAGATGAAATTGACTATCGAAAAACATTGCTGAATCTAGTTGAAAAAGTAATGATTACTCTTAAATCAATTAAAAGTATGCTAGTCTTTAGTATTCAACAAACGAGTAAAGGACTTTCTTAAATCTGCCTGAATAAGACAACAAGAGAAAACATGTACAGAGTATTCGATAACTCTCGAGGGAAATTGTAAACGAATGAAATGAGGCGAAAATTCACACAATTCTCAGAAGTATTTCTCCATTTCAACAAATAACAGTTGATATTTATTCACTTGATGAAGTGCAGTTGTGTTACCTTCCAATAAACTTGATGAATCCCAGTGGAGAGGAATTTATAAATTTTCGTAGTTACAAATGCCAAAATGTAATTTTTGGAAAAATCTTAGTCCATTTCAGGGACTGTTCCACTTTGAAATCGTCAAATATCTTAATGTACCCTTTACGTTTTTTTTTTAAATGCTTGTAAATTACAGTATTCAACATATGTAAAATGAAATTTAATATCTGTTTCTGTTTCAGGCTCAAGAAAAAAATTTGCAGAACTGGATTCTGAACTAAGGATTGACAGTACCGTTTCTTCAACAACTTTTGACAGTATCGATTCATCTGAAAATACACGCACTTTGAATAATGATCGAGAGCATGTCAAAGGCTGTGCCTCCAAGTACAGACAATGCACTTGTGAGCTGTTGACGAGATATAAAATGAGACAGGAGAAGCGTAAACAGTGGAGCAATTGTCCAAATCGTGGGTTGCCATCAAACGACACAATAAACTCAACGATTTTAGCTGGAAATGTGGGGAGTACCTCCGCTGGTACGTCACGAGCTTCCTCAGATTCCTTCCACAGTGCCCAATCCATAACGGATGATATCCAAGTTGTGTACTCTAATATTGGTGATGCAAGTAATGAATCCACTGCAGGAAGCTTGAACATTGCGGTCAATGAGTCGAAACCAAGGGACACAAATCACAATATTGATTCCAATCAAGAAATCGAATCAGAGTCAGAGAAGCCCCCAGTGACTTCAGAAATTGAAGATTCAACCTCTTATATGATGCCGTTCCTCGAGAAAATCTCCAATGAAATCGACATATGCTCTCCGAGCACCAACACCCAACGTCCCAATCTTATGAAGAGATTGTCAAAGTCATTCGCCAGAAATCCAGCAGAATTCGCCGAGAAATTACTCACGATCATTGAGGAAACTAATCTGAACAGCTGTCAACACCCAGAGGATAAAAGTTGTGCCAATTTGAGTCGTTTAACTACAGAATTCAGAAAAGCTTGTAAGTACATCATGAACGAGTCTATGCTCATGGATCAGTCCATGCCTGCAGAAATGTTGACTTCACCTATTGATCTTTCAATGTACATAGTCCCAGGAATCTCGACAAGTCCAGTGACCCCGAGTGGTTCCAATTCTTCCCCACAGCGAAAGAGTTCTGTAGATTTTCGTACACCTCCTCATGAGAATCAGAAACACGTAAAAAAAAAATATCGCAAAACTCCAAAGAACCTTATGGAAAATGCGCAAAAGTCTAATCAATCGCCTCTGTGCATTGCCATGTTGAAGAAGGCAAGTGACATTCCAAAAAAACCTTCAAAAATTCGGAAAAATACCGGTTACAGTGCTTGTTCTCCATACTCTGCAGATTCCTCTCATAAAACATTGACGCCAGTGATTGAACAATCACCTTTCAATCAGTGCAATGCAACGTTGAAAACAACCAATGGGACTCCTAGAACACCTAAGAGAACTCCCACAAATGCAGGTTACAATGATTCCTTCATATACTGGGAGAATTACGCCCATAAAAATGCGACGCCAGTGAGTGAAGGTAAAATGAGAAGTCTAATGAGAAGGAGTAAGTCTGTCCCAGATGTGGCAGCTCAGTTGGAATCTGCAAGGATCAAAAGAACTGGAGCAATTCAGTACTATGACCTCGAAGATTCTCCACCAAGCTCATTGCACTACATGCTGAGGAAGACCTCTGCGGATAATGTACTCTACGATACATTTGACAGTCATCCAAACCATGATTCCAATCTGCCAGAGACAGTTCTCGAAGAAGTCGTAAAGAAACGACTTCGATGCTGTGAAACGGAGAAGATGATTCGAGAGATTGATGCTACTTCTGTTTCTCCTGATGATACCCCTGAGGATGACATTGTTCTTGAGTATTTAAAGTTTGTTAGGAGATCCAGTGATTATCACAAGTACCTGAATAAGAATAAAGAGGCCATAAATAAGGCGGTGAAAAAAATTGAAGATAAACTTACAGCTCCCAAACAGCCTATCCAACCGTCAATGAAAACTCCAGGAAAGCTGATGGAATCTACAAAGAAGCTTCAGCCTATTATGAGTGAGCTCAAGAGGCCAGCATTCGTCGTAAATTTCCGTCGGAGATCACCAGTTGCTGTCAGCACGACGCCCAAAGGGAAATCACCAGTTCGTTTAAATCAGGGAGAAACATCTCTCTATTTACGTCGATTGAGTGCCAAGAAGACAACTTTGAGATCGACGTCGCCTCCTGTTCGTCACCCAACAACTCCAAGAATTACAAACCCAAGATTGGCGTTGACACGAAGCACTCCAAATTTGACGCTTACAGCAAAACCAGGTGCTTCGGAATTACGACCTGTTTCAGGGGGACAGACTCCATCCAGACCTTTGAGTGTTGCAAAAACTCCAGCCAAATTGAGTGTTGTCAGGACACCCGCTAAGATAAATCCCAAAAATGGTTTCACGATGAGTTCAGTCACTGTACGATCTAAAACTCTTCAAACACCCAATCCTGGCTTGACAAAGTCCAAGTCTGCTCAGAATTTGCCTGTATTATCTGTCACGCCAGCTACACCACGTCCACAAACAACTACCTGTGCTCGTGATAAAAAATTGACACAAAATCTTCAAAAATCTGGAGTAACTGGTGGTAGGCTCTTGCAAACTCTTGCCAAGTCTAGAGAGAAGTCTGCAATCACATATAGATCTGGAAAAGTCTTCAGTACACCTGCTAAGTCCGAACAGAAGACATGCTCCTTTTTCTCCACTCCGAAATCGATGCAGGCTAAATCTTCAGTTTTTTCCAAACGAGGGAAATATTTTGAGACTCCTGTAAAATCCGAGGCGAACAAGAAACCGGTCATTCCTTCTGCCTCGAAAGTTAAGAAGACTTTTGTTGGGAGTGCAGTGTATTATAGTTATGATACTGTCAAGTCACCTGTTGCTGAATACATTAATTCCACTGATGCAAAATTCGTTCAGAATATTCGAAGCAAGGATAATGAGTTTCTCTTGACGCCCAAGAAAAAAGCAACCACTTCTACAGAGACTCTAAGCATCAAATTAGGGGGAACTAATGAAATAAAAAAGAATCCGGTGAGACAACATATCAATATGAAAAAAAAATTGAATTGTGAAAAATTTTGTAATGTAAAGATCAGGAATCTGAATCAATTTTCCAAGCAGTAGAATACTCTTTCCGAAGAAATGCTAAGCTTCATGGGAGAATATCACTACTCCAGATAAATTATTCTATGTTCCAACAAAATTTCATCCAGAATTTTTACTCTGGGTATAAGCATAAATTTTATTTGCTACGAGGTTGTTTCCCTCAAACACATTTTCTTTCTTCCAAAGGAGGGACTGAATTATCTCCAAAGCTCCAGTAGCTTTATCATCGAATTGATTAAAATAATTCGATTATTTAATTATAATGTTGAATGATTTCCAACGGTGAGAACGAAAGACTTGAGAATAATTTCAGAATTGCAATAATTTAATATTAACTATGGCCGGGATGAAAACTGGTGTCAATTTATCAAAATGATGAATTTTAGAAAAATGTTTTGTGCATTCCATCATTTTTATTCTTTCCCATTGATCGTTTACAGAGAGGGGCTGAAAATGACGAGAATATGCTTGATGCTCCTATGGATTCATTCCCTAAAGTGGTGTACCAGCCATCGGCCGCAGTTCACGATATCAACTGTAGTCCATCATCAAAATTACGTGGAGGCCGTGGAAAAGTTCTCAGGGAAATGAATGATAGAAGAGTTATCGTTCGTCACGAGGCTCGTATCCAGGACAACGTGGCTGAGCAATCCATCCATATTTCTAAACCAGCGGAAAAGAGTAATTACGCTGTTTACTCTCAGGCAGCTAAGAAACCGTTCAAATGATTGTCGATATACTCCACATCTACTATAATATTTCACTGCGAAGTAAGAATAAATCATTCCGTATGGCCATGCTACTGTCCAATATTATTGCTCGTATGATGGAATGACCAACAAATCATTCTCATTCCATTGTGAAAGATCATAATTATAAAATACTTTATATACATTATCCGCAGAAGTCGAAACCCTAGGTGATTTTTTTTATTGTCTAAAGATGTTGAATAAAGTTTTATATGAATAATTTTACTTTATCTCGTGTTAATTTTATGAGTCACTATGGTAAAAATTTAGAGCAATTCTTTGACCTCTTACGAAGAACTTAACACTTGGATAGTGGAATTGATAGACAACGTATGAAGAAAAATCTCCAAAACTCGTAATTTCTATTGATGTAAACTTCATCTGATACTTGAAGAATGTTGAGGAGTGTGTTAGTGAAAATCAGCATTAAAAACATAATTATGAGTGTTCGGAATTATGGGCCAAGGAGTGAAAAGTTACCATATGTTATCTATGTATTCTATGCGGGTGAAAGGTACGAATTATTGTTGAGAAATTATTGCCCACTGTCTGTTTGCTTTCTTTCTTCGAATGGGTCGAAGAACAGTTATAAGCCACGTTATCGGTATTCGAAATTAGAACTAGTCATGGTTAAGTCACTATGATAATGACAGAAATTGGTGCGAAGGCAACTTATCAAAATTATAAAAATGTCCAATATAACAGAAGCAGCTGAACATGTAGTGGATTTTTTTGGTGGACTAATTGTTTTCCCCTAAAGAATTGGTTAACACGCAATGGATGATGAGTTCCCCGCATTTATTCTCGGTTTTCGCGTGCACAGAATCAGATCGGATTGTTATCTCTGTTCGAATCTGTCTCATATGAGAAATTAATATAAACTTCCGCGTGAGAAAGATCGGACGAAATCTGAAACATTTGAAATCGGTCCGACAGAGCCTTTATATTTTTTTGGAAGATCACCGTGCGACGGAAAACACGGGCGAGACAAAGATGCCGAAAGATTCTACCTTGATTTTGCTTGTGATGTTGCGGGCCTATTTGACAGAAGCAATGTGACCGTTACTTTATGCGCTATTAGTATTTTTTCTTTTTCTCTACCAATTTCATCTGTAATGAGCTTCCGAATGGATCTGCAGTAGGATTTCTCATTATATTAAGATTTTTGAATTTCGATTTTCCTAAATCTGCATCTGATAGTTCATCAAAAAAGAGAGAGATGAGAATTTTTTCCGATTTTTAAAAACGTTTTGTGAAGTCCCGCAGATCTTTAGAAGTTTCTTATGATGATATGCATGTGAAAGAGGTGATAGAGTTTAAAAACATCATTATGTCGGAAAATTGTTTCCATAGTTATTTTCAATTACCACAAAACTCTTCGCAGTGCATCGAAGAATGAAAATAATATTCTTTTGAATTTTCCAACTCATTTATAATTGAATAAAATAGCATGAATTACGCTGAATATAGGGGTTTTCGGAGACCCCGTACGGCTGTTCAAAGTTGACTGATTCCTGTGGGATTTCGTTGAATGATTTTCCAAGTATCTGCGTATCTTCTTGCAAAAAATGGAATATTTTGCTCCATTTTGAAGCAATGAAAAATGCAAAACAAAATTTTCCAATTTCGAGGCAGCGTCAGGTGCTCAGATTATGTGGTGTGCTTATGAGGCCCATATACTGAAACGGAGAAGGCTGACCGACCGGCCAGACCATTTCTCGGACGGACCCAGTCTTTTATTGCCCTGAATAAATCACAGCAGACCCTTTTGTTCTTCGTAGGATTTTTTTTTCATTTTTATGAATTTTCACATTAAACCTATATATTTAGATTCCTCATTGCATAGCGATTCTAAGCAAGCTTCATTCATTGAAATAGCTTAATTTGGACCGAAGTTGATTCACTGGGATTTTCAGGAAATATCAACTAGAAGTAAAAATTCAATTGAAACGATGTAAATTTTTAATTTATTAAAGTTTGCACAGAATTTTGGAATTGTTCAAATAATAATAAAAGAGGTAGTCATATGAGTCCCATATATTGCATAGTGCTAAATTACAGCTTATTGACCTTATCCTAAGACAAAAATTCTAAGCTCCTAATTTTTCAGAGCAATTCCCTGTGAGGGATTCCCCACAAAGGAATTATTAGTATAAATCAACGGGAAACATTTAAAAAGAATCGACAATGAACTCCAAAACACGACCAATGACATATGGCAACAGTTTTGATCATTCATATCATCGTTAATAATTTATTCTACTCGGAAGATCAGTAGTTTTTTGATGAATTCAGCGCACTGAGAGAAAATGGGATAGTAATCGCATTAATATTGCGTATCGTTGAGGTCTCTTTGTTGATCGAACGATGCATATTGCTAGGTCAACCCTAATTATTGTAGAGATGATTATCCTGGTATTGACTCTCACAATATGATTGCTTGATTTGAAAACCGGTGTTGTCAACTTCGCGTTGACAATTTCCATATTATCACGACTACAGGTATTGGAGAATTAGTATTATTCGTGGGCGTCCTTTCGCGATGAATTGTGGATTAGTTTGAATAATATAATAATTGATAATTCATTTTTTATGGCCGGTGTTCAATGTGTGATGAATTCTACAGATCATCATTTTTATGAGGAAAGAATCAATTCATGATTTAATTAAAAACATTGAATGAGCCGCTTTGCGTACAAAATTCAAGTAACTGACAACATAACCCTTTTGAAGTTGTAACATATTAGATCGAGTAGTGACAAATTTCCCGATTAATAAGAAAATAATTGAAACATCTCATCAAGTATCTAAACAAAATTTTGCATATTCAACGCAAGAAAAATGCCTCCCAGTTGAGCTTTTTAACTGAATAGTAGGTGAAGATATTCAAGATATTTTTTTTCTATTCTGAAGAGGAAATTTTCTCTTTTGAATTATCAGGTACAATAATTCATGAATAGGGTATATTGAAATGTAGGTAAATTGTTCCTCGGAAAAATGTTTCCCATATTTTCTTTCTTCACGCTGATTTCCGTTTTCATCGTTATTTCATAACATATTACATAATATTGTGACGTTGTGAGTTTATTTGATCGTTTTTAACTCTTGTTTCACTCCGACCTCGGCTAGTCTCGGTGAGCTCACGGGTGGTTCGCTCAATCGGAGGGATAAGTGAAGGATAGAGGGAGGGCTAACGATATTAAACCGACCGTACTAATGTGGGTAAAATAATTATATATTAACTTCTTTTTATACACGGTAGTGTTTAATGGGTCGGTATAACGCGGTACTTGACTCGACTTTGGGACCTTGACTTGACTTGGTTCTTGGTTGGCTGAAGGCCTGAGCTCAGAGATCTTCTCTGTCCAGCTCCCGAACGTACTCTAGATTTTTGGCTAGGAGAGGACTTCCGTCCATCTTCAACTCCTGCCGTACTCTGGTGCTTCCCGAGTCGTCCAAACTCGTCAAAGTCCCAAAATGCTTACCTAAGCAATCCCACGGTTTTCGTTACTAATACGGTTTCGTGCATTCGTTTGTATAGAAACCTACACAGTCAAACAGTTCAGCACCCTGAACTGGACCTGTAGAAACCGTGGAACTGCTTACGCTGGTGTCCATGGGACACCGTGGGACTGCTGAGCAATCTTTGGATGAAGGGAATGAGAAACCTCGTTTCCCGTTCCGATCGTCCACCACTTTGGGCATAATAATTATAATTATGAAATAAATCGACGTATTGATCGATCTCAATACGTCACAATATAAAATAAAAAAGAAAATAATTTTTTATTATGCCTTTTTACGAGGGGCTGCTACTTCCGGAATCGCGACGCCACTCTGGCATGAAATCATTCCGAAATCACTAAAATCACGTGAAGTCGTCTGAAATTAATGAAATCATCGAAATCGGCAGCGCATTGGTGCAGTACGAATCGTGCGAGTAATTCGTGATTTTGAAATTGACACACGTGTCAACGATGATAATAAAATGCCGTACTCACTGCCATAGTAAAATGGTAAAATGGACAGTTTTGATTTTCATAATTTGGCACAACCCGTTTTGCCCCACCTCTATTATTTATAAACTATTTTTCTGAAATCATTGATTTCTAATTAGTGAAATCCTTCGAAATCATGAAATCACCTTCCGTAACGCTCGAAATCACCGAAATCATTCTTTTCGAAATCACTGAAATCATCCGAAATCGACTTCATTTCGAAATCATGGTGTCACTCAATTATGGAGTGAGTAGCCTCTTGACTTTTTAAGTCATTCTGGGGGCTTATTCTCGCCTGTAGGATTACCATGTACAATCCGTAAAGGAAGCCTCGTTCACACCCACATCCGCCTTCTCACAAGTCGAGAATAAGCCCCCAGAGGCGAAAATAATCAATAAAATGACGATGTGTGATTTTTTTTTATTAAAAAAAAAGATTTTTCTATGAATTGTCTTATACCAGGATGTATTGAATCGATTGACCCAAAATTTTATACACAAGAGTGACTCTATAGTGCTAATGACTAGCCAGAATCTCAGATGTTGATTCCAAATTTTAGTTGTATTATGGAACACCTAATTAACTCTCAATTGAAACAATTAGAAAAACGTGAATATCTCGAAAACTTTGTATTAACGGGTATTCATAATTTGATTGATGTTGATAGGGGGTGGTAAGACGAGTATTTTGAAAAAACAAATAAATTTAATCAGACAAGTAGTTTGGGAAATATTGAAAAAATTGAATATCTTCTAAACCACTTGTCCAATTTCGCTTACCCACAATCCCATCCTGCAATATCTTAAGAGAGCTATAATCTTACGAAATTTCAACTCCCTATCTAAAATATTTCGGGAGTTATCGTGCACAGAAAGATTTTCTCATAAAAAAGCAAAATTCCGATTATTACCAAATTTTCCCTAGTTACATAGCAATATTGTCATTTGATTTGATAGATATTATCATAAGGACTATTTTGACGTCAAAAAAATACAATTCAGGCACGTAGTTTTCGAGATATTGAGGAAAAAATATTTTTGAGAAATTGCTGTATTGCGGAAACTACTTTACCGATTACGCTGAAAATTGCGCCCAGAAGTACTCCAAAGTAATACCAATTATGGGACGAAATTCAGATTTTTAGCTTCAACTTTAGTCATTCTTCTGTGAAGATTCATAAAAATTTTCCGAAAACTTTACATACACATTCGGACATACATAATCACATTTTCTAAAAACATGATATCTTCACATTTCATGACTTTCTACGTCATTTTCAGGCAAAATTAGAAGATAGTCAAAATCAACGATGAGAAAGCTTCCATTCGGAAGCACAAAAAGAATCCATAGGTAGCATAAAAACTTTTAAAATGGCTAAAAAATCAGTAAAAAGGTGAGCGTCATATAGAATGAGTCATAATTACATTTTTCAGAGGAAAAAAGCATTCCCGGTCATTGAAAATTGCTGGAATCATTTGAGCGAAAAGTACAAAAACCTGATGAATTTGAAAAATGAAAGAGGACAGGTCAGTGTACTGAAATACGAACTCAGAAGTGAATAAACTAATTTAATGTTAAGTCTGCCTCTCTTGAGAAAAAAAGTAAAAAAAATTCAGAAAGTTCCAGAACCTTGACAAATAAATTGATTCTTCGAAAGAAACCGATTACTCATAATCAGAGCGCCCGGTGTTTCTAGATCTGTTGCACACGGTGCCACAGCAGGGAGCGCCAATGGCGGCTCTTATCGTCCAGCGATGAACCAATCACATTAAATGATCAATTTTGTTTATCCATTTGTAACTGCGCATGACAAACACTCGCAGGCATTGCACGCGGATCTCCAGTAGCAGTACGCTGTTTGTTCATGTGCAATGTGGCGGGGAATGATCAATAAATTCGAGGTGCTGGCCACAGTGTTCACACAAACAGTTCTACGATAAGTGACTGCAAAGTTGTATAGTTCTTCACAGAATATCAAGTTTATAATCATCAAGATGCCAGGATCCTGTTGTGATAAGTGCTCTTGTGAGTATTTCATTTTTTAAATTGGTATTTGCGAAGCCATTTATTGAAATTGAAGTTTTTAACGCTTATTTTAATATTGAAGTTTGCTTTCGTGCCTTGATTTTCAGTAATTAGTTTGTTTCAAAAATCCATATTCCGTTGAATTTCCAAAGGTAATGAGTGCAAGGACCGGAACCTTTGCCTTTTACTTTGATATTTGATGTACCCCTCCGATATTAGCTTTATCAGTTTGATATCATGTAGATTACTAAAATTGCCGCTTACGAGTTCTCTGGTCTCTTGAGTGTATAATGTATTAGGAGGTCTGGAATTGATATAATATAGTAGATGCGTTAATTCAATTTATTATATACTCGTTGAGGAGTAACATATAGGAGACTCGAGGATGATGAAATAACCTGCAAAAGCCTCTCAAAGTATTGACAGTGATTCAGTACGTTGCCAGTCGAATGGGATTGGGTTTATTTAATTATTTTCAATTTTTCAATCCTCAATTGCTGACATAATTGTTAAATATGATTCTAGCCCAGTGCAAGGACGGCTGCAAATGTGGGGACAACTGCAAGTGCTGCAGCGGCGGATGTCCAGGTGGGTTTAATATTTTTTTTTCTTTTCGTTTAGAAAGGTTTTTAATTGAGGCTATGTAGTGTCATGTGGTTAGCTACTTTCGGTTCAAACTGACTACCTTTTTTTTCACACCTCATCAACTAAACCGTTATAGATTCGGACGAATCCACCAAAATTTTCAGGTTTCTTGTGCTTCCCGTATGAGAAAATTCGACAGACCAACTCAATGTACTTATTGAACAATTCTCCTCAAATACTGCTATTCGATTTGTTCTTTACCGATTTTCATTGAAAATTTTACATCTGCCCCTCTGAATTTTTTGGCGAAAAAAATATCTACTACGATGAAAACCAGTTTTTTAATTTTCTACGCGGCTTATATTTGGGTAAAAATTTTGCCTAGAAGAATTTTCTAGATAATGGATGGAGGAAAATTTAGTTTTGAAGAACATGAAAAATTATATAGCAAGGAATTGCTGAAGAAAGATCTCAATCGCAGAAATTACAGAAAATACAGAGAAGTCCATTATTATAAAAAATAAAAGAAAGTCGATTATATGAAACTTTGTCAATTAGCTTTTTTATATATTTAAAAAAGTACGGAAAACGGATGATTTTCCAATAGAAATCGTAAAACAATTATAGAATTTAGTCCGACATGTTCATGAATTTAATGTTCCACATGAATTCGAGATCTAATGGGATAATGGAAATCGACATTGATAATAACTTATGAATAAATAATTAAACTTAAAATTATTATTACCTTTTCAGACCAATGCTCCTGCAAATCTGGAGGCCAATGCAACTGTAAAAACTGCGCCTGCAAGTGAACTCTCCAACGATGATTCCACATTCCATTATCTAATCATTACTTTAATTGGAACGGCAGCTTTTTTTCGTGAAACTAAACAATCGGCAAGACTGATGCTCGGAACAATGAATTAATCTTCTTTCGAAACTAAATCTTACTGTTCATTCAAATTGTCAATGCTGGGCGGAAAGAAATAAATACTAATACAAATTATTCTGAAAACATAATTGAGAGTTTATTATTTGACTACAATATGATTGCAGGGGTTGATTCATAGGTTACTCTAAATTCATAAAAAGGGTTACGAAGCAATAAGAAATTGTTTATACAAATATCTGTAAGCAATACTCCAGTTTATTTAGCCGAAGCTCGATTGAGCCTTAATGATACAGTATATTTCTGTGCACTGCAGTGGCGCCCCCTCAATAGCGTGCATACGAAAGATGGCTCGCCGAAACTTCTCCCGAGTTTTACTAAACGCTGGGCCCAATGAAAAAAATGTGGATACATTCAAAAATAAATAATAATACGATATACATTAGGACTCAATAAATTATTCGCTAATAAGGTTGAAAAGCAAGAAAATATTGTATTCAGTAATGGCATAATAAATTGTGAGAAATAACGGAATACCACTTGTTGAAGGTGGCGCCCTTTATTCGCGATCGCAACGTAGATGTGGGAGCCATCAAGTGGTCTATAAACTAACTACTCTTGGGGGGCAACCAATGAGATCCCTCGGAGGGAACCAATGATGGAGCTCAACAAATGAGATCAAAGAGAGTCCACTCATCTCATTGGTTGCCCGCCAAGAGTAGTTAGTGGAGAGATCACTTGATGGCTCCCACATCTACGTTGCGATCGCGAATAAAGGTAAGCGATGTATTCAGGGAGAACGGGACGATAAAGCAGTTTCCTAAGGAGTATTACCGACAGCGTTTGTATGTTCAGCACCTAACTTAGAAGATAATTTACCGGATGAGTTTATCGACTGATGAGAGACGTGATGAAGAAACGCGGGAAATAGTTGGGCGCGCGAGGGTCTTTAGTGGATTGTACGGGTGTATCTAAACTCGGCACCTTTCCCGTTTCGGCACCCTGGAATGAGTAAGTAGCGCACACCTCGGAAATCGGCGGCAACAAACCTTTTACCTATTGAGTAAATTGAAAATTCACGATTTATAGATGGCGATAGTGTTCCGAAAAATCTTTCGGAGTTATTTCAAAAGCGGTTCTCATGCTGAAGTCGATAGAAAAATGTGCGTAGAAGCTATCAGCCTGCGCCAAGCCCAAATAAGATGTTTGTTTCATTCGGAATTCTCAATTCTCCATTATTATGTTTTATACATAAATGAGACAAACATGGATTGGTCCTTCTAATTGTCCATTAATCCAATGATTCCGTTGAATAATTATCTGCAATAATTGTTCTTTGTACGGAAATTATTCCAATAATATAAAAATCAACGGAAATGGTGCAATTTTTTATAATCCGAGAAATTAAACCGAGAGAAAAGATTCATTTATTTCAAACAAATTCTGTATTTATATGAAATGAATTATTTTTATATATATGAAGATTTCTCGACGAGACGGAGTTTCACACTTCAAATGATGAAGCTCTACAAGTTTTGGCAATTTTCACTTGGGATTCACCAATCAAAGTGAACGTGTTCAAATACAATTACAAAAAAAAGAAAATAGATAGTTCGCATTAAGAAATTTTCTAACATATAAGCCAACCGTGAAGAAAAAAAAATATCAAATTCTAAAAATTAATTTGATGAAAATTATTTTCGATCAACAGGACTCGGTCATATCGGATGAATTCTTATCACTCATTCTCACCCAACGTTTCCTTCTATGGTATAATACATTGTTCATTATATTTCATTAAGCCTAATGAGATTTTTTTCAACTAATTGTATTAAATTGTGAACCGAGTGAAATGTTATTCTAATATCCATTGCGTGCATCCCATTACCTCTTTCTACGGGGGATTTTCTACCTCATCATTTCGTTCCAGTTTCGTGGGTTACCACATATTCAGTGGAAGTAAATTTTCCAGATCGATGGCAAGCCAAAAAACTCCTGAATCTAATGATTCAATTTGAATCAATCAATTTCAATTTTCAATTCATAAAATTGTATATTATATTGGGATTCTTACGGAGAATGATACAAAATTTTTCATATTCAATTGAATAAATTCGGAGCTCATTTTTGGAGAAGTTTATTGAGAATTTGAAAGCAACGTTATACAAATAGAATGAATAATCGACATTAATAATCCATAATTTGTACAATTAATGATGATGATCGGTTTTCCAAATCCCACGAGCAGGTCAACTCGTAATCTAATATCATTTTCAGTTACCTGGGTTTTCCGGTAATTGAAACCATCTTGTTTGCTGCTTTGAGAGTCCTTTCGGTGATTTGGGTACCACGAAGATCCAATGTTGTAAGATGATTGCATGATTTTAGAAGCTTCTCAACTCCATTATCCTTAACAGGACACTCCACGAAACTCAGATAATTCAACTTGGTGAAGCATTGTAGATATTTATCAGTAATATATTCCATACACTGAATCTTCAGTGACTTCAGTTTTGGAAGGTTGGTCAATAGTAAAAGACATTCATCTGTCATGGTTGTAGTAAAACCACGAGTATTACACCAATTGAGAATCCTGAATTATTTTCACCAGGGAAATAAGACACTCAGACAACAATATTCAAATGAAATTTAAATCATATATTTATAGATCATTTTAAATCATCAAATAATCTATTCACGTCATCATAATTACTCATAGCAATCGGTTGGCTCAGTTCAAATTAAATCTCTTCGTCACGTTTGATTTACAACAAATCGTCCTAATGAACATCCGTCCATTGAAGACACTCGAATGTTCCAATCGGAACCGTTCATTTTCACATGAGTAAAAAAAAAGGTCTCCCTCACTTGACAATGCCTATTGACTCTCGAGAATACCAGGGATATCCCCCTGGGACAAATATACAAGACGAACCTTGAATTTCACCGTATGTGGAACTCTACCTCCGAGATGATGATCTGTGCCGTGTGTGAGTCCCCAGAATACGTTAATGATGAAATACTCATCTGTTGTCAACGGGATCGGTGTGCGAACAATTTGTGGACCAGATAATCAAGCTGGCGAGCTCCTCCGGCAATCATCAATTTGGTCCCCTGATGCAGCCCATCCGAATCCCCAAGTGAATGCGGGATGAATATTTTGCGTCGTCGCATGATATCGTACAGTCGGCCACACTCTCTCGTCACCCAGTGTACTCGGCTACGGCTCCAGGTAGAATAAGGAGTCAATGGACCTCGTGGCATCCGCTTGGCTCCTATTTCCCCCTCCCACTTGTTACAATTTCGTGTCCGTAGGGTGGTGTCCTCTTATCCCATACATTATCATGCGGGATGTTCGCGGTAATATTCGAACATGAAATCCTGTACTCTACATGGTTATTGAACATGTAACCGTACAATTGATCATTATGTGAGGAAAATGTCAAATTACACCCCCTGTCTCCCCTCCCGACACTTCTAGAAAGTTAACAGTGAATGAATTCTATAGAGTCACTATATTTCCTGAACATTGGAAGAAAGTAGTTCAGTTGTAGATATTGCTCTGGTACACATAAAACTATTCACCAGGCAAACTTAACGAAATCAGTGGGCCATTCCGTGAAAAAAACCATAGGCAAATGCGGGCTCAAAATTTTCATTTTTTTTCGACCCTTCCCCACTTTATTGGTCTTTTACTTACCAATGGTTATAATTTCCTTATAATGGTTGTAAGCTTCTACGGAAGACTGAAGCATTAGTGAAGTGTACTGAATCATGACCTGCAGCAATAGTGGCAGCGGACCACGGTACAGACCTTTATGTTTGTACTAGGGACTTCTTAGGCACCTGCCGAAATGGGAAGGGGGGGGGTAGTGCTACAACGAGTGTTTCCAAAATTATCGGCCAAAGTCGTCAGAGAAAGGCCAGTCAATTGCATTCATTATAAACCTCTAAACGAAGACTCACTGCGTGAACGCCGATCAAGGAACAGTCACACTATTGATCCGTATATCTATTCTCCCTAGTATTTTATGCGTTCCAGATGAGGCGCATTCAGGACGGTAAAAAAATTATTTTTGCTACTAATAAAATGACAAAATATGAATTTCGAAATTTTTGGAAAAAAAAGTCCCTCAAAATCCATTTTCAACCCTCCTGAGCATACCGATGGGGGGGGGGGTTCTTCCCGAATGTATACCTGACATTCTGACATTTAGTATCTGAGTGTGACAAACAAAAAAAAAGTGGCAGAAAGGCGAGCGCTGGACGGCTCCACTTCTACAGTGGAAGGTTATGGATTAGAGGGCAGCGCACATGTTCACCAGAACTGAAATGGCACTTTCTTTCAATTATAAAACCCCAAGAAAATTATGGTATGCTACGGGGAAAAATTTCCGACTGGCATTGACTGGTTATATGTGGCACCCCCCGTATAACCGGATTGCGAATTTTTTCAACACATTCAGCTTAATTGAAATGAAAAAATTTTGGTCTGACCTTACAAACTATTCATTTTGAGTTTTTGATATTTTTAGGAGAATGGAAAAAAAATTGAAAAAAAAGTGGGAAGAAATTTAATTGGTTCATTTTTCATGAGAATTTGCGAAGAGTATGGTGCACGTATATCATAATATTGATAGAGCATAATGATTGAAAAGACTTTTCTTGGAACTTTTCACCTTGGGAGCAGTGCCTGTATTTTTTTAATTATCTGTTAATATTAGATGACAGCCGAGCTGGCCAAATCAAATGTGTTGGGCCACGAACGGAGAATTAATTTTCGACAAATAACTAGAGTTGACATTAGACTTTACCAATTGAATGGGTGCCGGTCAACCGCTGGTCTTCCGTCAAACCAAATAATAAAACTCGGAGGGGACTTTTTCCGTCCCTTTCCGGCCGCATTTTCCGTCACCCCCTTCTACTATATTTCTTCCACAAAACGAGGTTTTCATTATTTTTTGTATTTGAACGAATAATGGACCATCATTATATCGTCAGATCACAGTCAACGGAATCTCCCATTTCTGTTCTTCGTTTCTCTCCTCCTCTATTTCCTTTCACCTTGGTTAAACAAAACCACGGTGTTCTCGATAATTAATCGTGAATTGTTATTCATTTACTCATTCTA